CCTTCATATGCATGAGGGATTTTTTTCCCCCAAACTGTGGTGGAATAAGTAACAATTATTTTCACAGCTGCCAGCAAGTCCAATCAAAAAGTCCTTTGTTGCATTTCTAATATGTACAACGGTAGGAAGAATAAATATTTCTGCTGTTTGATTAAATTTGTTTTAATCTTAATGGACAAAGGAGACTACTATCCAAACGTTATGGTTTAGAAATGTGCCTGTTTAATTCAATTGCATTTGTGGGCACAGATGTTTCAAGCTTGGTCTTAAAATCTCATTTATTAATTCAGTAGTAGTTCCAATATTTTCTTTAATGTACAAACAGATAAAAAAAGTCTAGAAATAATGAGTGTTTGCTCATACAGCATGCTGCTTGGACCTCTCAGTTGAAGTCAGGTTTGTTTTAGTAAGAACTGAGTATATGATGAATACAGACATGTAGGTTTAGGCCACAGATGTCTATGTATATGTGTGAATATATCCCAATGTAGGGATTAGAATTAAAATGTTTCCATAAAAATGCTGGTTTATGCAATCAATATTTTAATGGTGTCATCTAGCCTTATTACCTTGAATTAGTATGTAGCACTGTTCAGCATCATTCTTTTTCTAAGCTTTTGTTTTACAGCGATACCAAGATAATATAATATATGTGAGAACATAAGTTTACTTTTAATTACTATCTCCTTTTCTGAAGGTTCTCTATTTCATGTTTCCAAGCATGAAATTTTCTCAGGAGCTAAAATAATGGATTAACTGTTAAGGGGACTAATGAAAACAATGCCTAGCTTTTGTAGTACTTCTCTATCATAAAAATCTAATAAATTCAAAGATAAAAATCAGACTAGCAGAGAAAAAAATGTGTTCGTCTAAGCAGCATATTGGATTTTGTAGGTCCAGATTAAGATCTGTCATGCAATTTGATCTTTAATGTGGCTCTTCAGTGCAGCAATCCTTTCTTTTTCCCAGTATTAAAGCAGGTATGAATCATAAATTTAGCAGGACCTGATCCTGTCAGTATATCTGTACAACTTACTAGCTTTTGACATGAATCTGACTCTTCTTACAGGAATTCTGTGAGATAAACACGTTTTCTAGGCTGGTGTCTGAAGTGTGCAGTTTTGGAAGGGACGCTTGGGTTTTGATATGTATGATCAACAAAATAGAAAGAACAATTCACTCCAGCTTGATGTTTGTAATATAATAAAGAACAATATGTTTCAGTTAGCCACATAGTGGCGGGAGGGAGGAATTCAAAAAAGAGCCTGATGACCTTTGGCCAAACTGTCAAGAAATTCTTGTGTTGTTCATTTTGCAGCTTTCTGAAATGGACACTAATGGGTATTCACATTGTCAGATATGCCAGCAAGGGTTTTCTTTCTGCCAGCAATGGCAGTGATGTTTGGACAGAATTTGAGGTAATCGTAGACGTATATAATTATGGAAGTGAGGCATATTTGTCTTCTGCTACAGTGGAGCCAAGAAAGTATTTAGCAGGCAGTAAGTGGAAGAAGGTCAGGGAGAGGGTTATCATTCCTGACATTGATGTGTTCTCTCTTGTACTGTATAGGAGAAGCTGAACTCTGAAGAGCATGCACTAAGCAATCCTTGTCTTTTTTTGATTGCTTGGACTTGACATTTAACATGTTTTCCCTTTATTACTGACTGTTCAAGTACAATCTATTTTAATGTATTTCAGACTCTCTGAATATTTAAGTTCTCTAGTTTGTCCCAAATATCAGAATTTGTTTGCTTTCTCTCAAGCATTCTTTAGACATTTGGCCCAGTTCTAACTAAACTAAGCTAATATTATGTAATGATTAAGAATGATGAGGGTTAGGATTCACAATAATATATGACTCTGTTTCCAACTTTCTCTTTGCTTTTGCAGAGGTAATATTGCTTTTTAATGTGAGATATATCAAATAAACTCAATTACAAGTGGGTTTTGCATGGTGTTTTGTGATATTCTTACAGAATATTCTAAGTTGTATTATCAGACCGAAGAAGTAGTATGTGCAAAGTATTATACAAAGTATAAGCAGCTAGCAGAAAGAAAAAGTTTTTAGCAGGTTATTAGAATCTGTTAAAGATAAAATATGTACTGTAATACTATATCTAACAGTTGCATAGAGAATTACTTTGAAGATTTTCTTTTGACCGTAGTCTATGTAAATTCTGTATGCTATTTAACTAATGATAGAGCTATATTACAAGCACATTATTATTGCTATGCAGTCACTATTATGAAATTGTCTGTGACTCAAAAATCTACAAAGTGACTTTATTCATACAGATATAAGACTGCAGGCCTGCAACTCTCAGCACAAAACAGTGCTGAGTTCAACCAAAAAAACAAATTTCTTGAAGACAGGAAGTGAACCTCACATATTCACAAAATGCAGCAAGTGCATTGCTATCTATAAGCAATTGAGTCACAATATCTTTGTTAGATGTTTGTTTATTTAATACTCGTCAGTTTGGAGCAGATACTTTTGAATTTTATTTTCTATTCAAGAGTGAGAAGTGTAAGGAAATGCAGAAAGAAGTCTTGGTTCGCTTAAGCTGTGTCTCAACACTGGATCCTCAGATTAGTAAACAATAGTCTACAAGAACAAAATAGTCTATATTTCAATTATTGAGATAAGGTGTTATCCTTCACAATGCTGGAGCAAACAGTTTGTATAGATGCAGATCACAACTATTTAGTATCTATACTCAAATTTTTCAGACATTGATACATTTATGGTGTTGCAGAATACAGAGTGGTTGACCAAAAGAATCATAATAGGACAAAAGAATCATAACAGGAAACTGCAACAAAACCAAAACCTTTGAAGTTATGATGATTTCCTTATGCCCATTTGGAACATTACAGTTCCGCATAATGACCACACGTGAAGTCTCTAGTGGTCACATGAAGTCGCCATAACATCATGTGAAAGTTGATGATATTGGTAGAACACCAAAATTTGTAAGTTCTGTGGTAGAAGCTGCTGAAAATCTTTAAAGTATGTTTAGGTATTCCTATGTATAGGTATTCCTATACATAGGAATGTATAAATTAGCAACTACTTCAGGGACATCCTGTAGCTTGCACCTATTAAAGAATTCTTTATGTGCTAATTAGAAAATATTTACTTTAATGTCTTGCATCAGTTTTTATGAAGACTGCGTTTCATACCTTGGTAGCTGTAACTCAGCATTAGAATGGCTTGCCATTATCACTGTTTATTCCTGAAAAAAGTGAAATGTGTTCAGACTCAAGGACACAGTACACAGAAAGAATGTACAAGATTTTGGAACATATTTACAGGAAAGAAAAGAAACGGCTCAGCAATCACAATTTCAGGTGAAAGTATAAAAGGTGCTTCAAATTTCTGTGTGCTTCATTAGGAAAAATATATTTACTTCAATTAAACCGTGAGTTGCAAGATCTGACTGGAAGTTGCTGAGGTGGGAAACACAAAATTCTTATGTGTGTATTTAACATTTGTAAGGCATTTATATCTGAGTGTTGAAGAGTAGATACATACAGGTCTAGGGTATAAAGTTGAAAACCTGTCTGTATAAAAATGTGTAAACAGTATTATCTGAAAGAAAATCATATTTCAGTAGAAAGACTAGAGTCTTAGTGAATAATATCAGATATTGTTTCATGATGAACCATCTGGAACAACAGACTCCAAAATGTTAGATATCAGAGTAAACCCAAATATCATATAATTTCTGTACTAAACACTGACAAGTTGCACTTACTGTCACCAAAGGGGTTAGATTTCTGAAGAAGACAGTGAGAGTTGTAGCATTTAGTCAGTTATTTTTTCATATAAGTGAACTGAAGGACACACAGTATCACATTCAGGAAAGTAGTATTTTAATCTGATTTTTACAGAATTTTGTGCTAATAAATTCTAAAGATCTGTTCTCACACATTGTGAAAATAATGTCCATTCTGTCCTGGCTTCTACACATAATATTTTAATAAAATGTATCAGTTATATATTTATGTTTCAGTAGTAATTTTCTCTAATAAGTGACTTCATGATTAAGATTATACAAAGAAAGTTTTAATTTTAGAAGTGGAACAAGATTCTGTTGTCAGACCATAAACAGCTGGTCCTTCTGCTTGCAAAGAATTTAAACGTACAGAATTATTGAAACTAATCAGCAGTTTCTCAACTGTCTTGTTCATTTGGGGGATTTTAGCTTAGATAGCAGAGGTGATATTTAATTTTCAGTTGTACTGAGTAACAAACTCCTCAGATAAGCACACAAGGAAATTAAAGTGATATGCATCTGACAAAAACAGAAGCTAGTACTTCAGGTTGCCAAATTTAGGTGAACACATTTGAAAAATTACTAATCATGGAGAGTCTTTGTAAAACTAATCTGTTTGCTAACATCTGGCTTAAAATAGTTAAGAACAGACTGTTCTGTGACACCTATTCAAAGAATTAATTTTGAGTACTATATTTCAGATATCCAAACTTCCTTATAGTCAGTGAAGTTGTCTAAACATAAGGAACAACCTTGGCCTTTAGCTGCTATTCCAAAAGGCTCTACCACCTAACCTCAGTAGTTCTGCTCATCTATTCTTGAAAGAATATGCATGAAGTGTGTTCCCTCTTTCTCGCTCCATTTCCTTCACAAGGATAAGAAAAGAGAAAAAAAAAAAGGCTGTTTAATGTGCTAGAATTACCATACTGTTTGAAGACAATAAAATGGCATAGTATGTGATAGCAGCATGACATAGTAATTGGTACAGACACAGTATATAATCTTTGTGTTTCAGTCACATCATTTGTATTCTGCAGGGCAGTTCTGAAAACCTCTGTGTTTTAAACAAAATTTCGGTTTAATGTTGAAATAAGTTTTTATTTAATGTTCTCTTAAAAAAAGCAGTGCTGTGCAAGGAATTCATTGGAGCAGAGAATGTCAATGAAGATCTGTTGTCCACATATCTATGTGTTTTCAAACTTTGTGTTTACTTTCCTCAGCTGTGGGTCTTGCTGCCTGTCCAGAACCAGTAATACCTAGCAATGGGATCAAATCAGGAGATAGATATATGGTGAATGATGTTTTGTCATTTCAGTGTGAGCCAGGATATACGTTACAGGTATTTCTTTCTTTTTTCTTCTGATTATACATTGTGGAATAATTGCAACAAAATGGCAATAGGCCCACCTATTTTAAGGAAGAGTCTGTAGTGTGTCCATAGAGGTGATTTAAGTAGAGCCTATGTGAGTACTTCCACATTATAAAGCTATGAATGTGTAGCGTGTCTGGCCCTCAGTAAATCTGGGCTGGCAAATCTTGTCTTAGATTAACATGCCACTGAGGATTAAAAACCACCAAAATGGACAAGGAAATAATATAGTTAAAATGTTTTCTCTAGAGAAACATTTTAGTACTGTTCTTATTGAAACTATACAGTGTTTTTCCATTTTTGGAAGTGGTTCCTCTAGGTGAAATTTTAACCACAGTGATAGAAACACATGATGGGGTTTCCTGTTCTGCTCAGAAATTGTAGAATTTAGTTTCTAAAGTGAGTTTTATTCATACTAAATCTACTCTTAAAAATCCTTCAAGGAAGGATATGTTACAACTTAGTTCACAGTTTGGGAAAGTTCACAGTTCACACACTTGTTTATTTTCCCATGATAGACATGTTATTGAGCTCCTGTTTGTAAATGTCACAGCACTGTATAAATCTGACTGAAAAGTTTTTTCGTTCCTCATTAGTTCCTCTAATTCGTTCACATATATTCCACCACCCGTGTGATGCATTGAAAACATCTAACTTCAGAAACTTTTGGGTGGCAATAGGTCCTGCTCAAGACAATGTAAAAACATGCCACTGTATCAGAGAAAGCAAAGTGTCACCACTTCTGCTCCAGAGAAGGATGAAGTCATGGCTCCACACCTGATGTTTGCCAATTCAGTGCTCCCTCAGCATATACAGGCTTATTCTTTGGTCTCAGTATTCCTTACTATTCTCCTAAAATTCAGACAGGCTTCAGACTGTATTTCTTAGCTCTGGCTGTCTATGGGAACACCTGCACTTGAAAAGTCTCGCTAGGTAATCAGCAATATGCTTACCTTCTCAGTCATGTATTACAAATATAGGGTCAAGCCTTTAACCTAATCCATGCTCTTTACATTTATAGCATGACTTAATAGAGCCTGTGTCAGAAGCATCCCACACCCATAGCAGAAAACATTGTCATATATGTATCCTACTAATTAGATTGTGCACAATAAAGACTATGCTACATATCTTGAGTGCTCACTGCTCATTTAATGGTTCATGGATTGCTTACAAGCCAGCTGATGCTTCGTATGTAAAGTACTGAAGATTTTCTCTTTCTAGCAAAGGAAAACTTAATGTTATTTTTTAAATATCTACTGGTTTAAAACCTTTAACTTTTGGTCTTTGTTAACTTTTTTCCCTATTTCATCTTTCCATTACAGTACCCTATGTAGGTAGCAGTAATGTCATTAAGAAAATGAGAGACATAGAAGATTTGATAACATATTTTTATTATATGTCCCTTCAAAATAAATGGCTGTCATTGAAGCTTGACTTCCAAATAGATTCTGACTTCCACCTGAAGACTGCTAATGAACCATTAACCTGATATTTCAAAGTAGCATTAAACTAAGTATACGATAAAATGCCATACTCTACAGATACCTCTGTATTGCTGTAGCCAAGACAAAGGTATGGGAACTGAAGTTTGATCTTCAGTGCTATTAATTTGTTAGGATAGGGTGCTGGCAAGGTTTTGGCTTAGGTGAAGTATCACTGTTCAGTAATTAGCATTAGCCAGAGACTATTCCTGATAGACAGCTTGCATCATAACACAGTTTTGAAGATGGATTTGGGAGAAAAGTTAAGGAGGTAGATATACCAAAGAACGTGCATGTGGCCTCCAGGCTAGAAAACAAGCCCAAGCACTTCTGCTAGTATAGCTGTAGCTTATATGTTCTTACAGTCATTTCTCATATACATTGAGCTAAATTTATTATTATGAATGCCTAGACTCAGGACATTCTATTTCAATGCAGAATCTATCTGGAAGTCAGCCTATAATAAACTTGGTTACATAACAATAAATAAAATCATATTTTAAAAGTTCTTGGATTAAATCAAAGTAGTATCTTACTAGTCTCTTTTTTGCTTCTTTAAGAAAGACTTCTGTTTTGAATACTTGTAGAAGATCTGTGTGGAACTCTATTTTTATTCAGTTCCACCCTATGGTGAAAGGATCAGGATCTGGTAGTGATGCTGCTAGGCTGTCATATGATTGCTGTTCATGTAATTGCCAATAGGTGCTTAGCACCTCATTGCTATGATCCAGGCCACTGGTTCTAAGTTGCTGAGGCTGAAATATATATAGACAAATATCTGGTTGTTGGGTAAGCCTGTAGCAGTGATCTGATAGACAGAAGTGAAAAACCTACCTTGTACTAACTGTTTCCTCTGGAGATGGAATAACGTCTCATCCAATTTACTCCATCTAAAAGCCAGCTATCTAATCTGAGTTGGCTGTTCAGGCTCTCATTGTGACACTAGACCTAAACAGCCACACAACTCCAAGGCCGATTCTTACTAAGATTTTTGTGTAAGGACAGGTACCTCACTCTAAAAGCATCATCTTTCTTCACCGATTAGGATATCAAAAGGTTAACATTGGTATCTAACTTTAAACTGCTTAGGTTTGGTAGGATGATTCCTACTTGTATTGCGCATCATACTGCGTGCTTTTCTCTCCCTACTTTTTCAACTATGAAACATCTAAATTCCACATAGGAAAAAATGAAATTATTCCATTTTTATGACATGGATTAGAAATAGATAAAACCTCTAGATACAGCATCATTGAATTTTCTGTGCATGCTTAAAATAGTACTGCTGATGTTTTGAGGTGAAGTGATAACAGTAGAATATGAATACTTCAGAATTAGTTGGAATGAGTACAGGAAACCTTTTGAAGGTACACGTTGTTAGCCCTGACTTGATGTTTTTGATCTATTTTTACTTAGGAAAAAAATCAGAAATGTGAGTTCACAAATACAGTATTAGTATAAATTGTGTTTTTGAGGAAGAGATCTGAACATAAGAAACGGATCTGTATTAAAGCTAAACTTTAACACACTGTGTTTAACACTATCACAAAACCACACATTGCCTTTTGTCTGTATGCAGGTCTTTTCTGTAGTTCTTGAATATGACTAACTGCACTTTTGTTTTTATATTTACAGGGATTCTATAATGAATGACTTAAAATTTCATAGCTTGTTGTTCCTGAACTCTACTTCTTACCCGCATTTCCATACACATACAAATTTAACCCTAACTGTGGAATCTGACATGTAAAAAACAGTTTCATGATCTTGGCTAAAGTGTAAAACAAAAGACCTTCAATATAGAAATTAAATAGAAAACAGTACGAATATTTTCAAAATATTAATGAGGATTTCTATGCTATATGGAGTCTGCTGTAAGAAAGTGTGTACATATGTAAGTATAGTAGGTTGCCAAGACAGGACAAGTAAAAATGGCTCCAAATGAAAAAGAATAATGAAAATAAGGTTCTAAGAGGCACTATTACATGCTGTTCAACAAGTATAGATCAGCATAACTTTACCGATCCCTTTTTTTTTTTCACTCTAGCTGTGAATTTACCCTCAGTCTTTAGAGAACATATTCACAGCTAGCAATAACAATCAGGTGTGGATTAGTTTATAATTGAGACTTACCAGAAAAGTCTTAGAGCTCAAGCTACTACCTGGAGACGCATAAGAAAGGTAATTGCTAGCTGTAGGATTAAGTGTCTCCCCCCAGGAGGGGATTTTAAAAGACTGAAATCAGAGTGTGCTCTTGTTGGAAAGAGGCTTGAAGCCAGAGGAATCATTTCATTTTATTTTTCAAAAGATCTTTTATAGGCCATTTTACCTTTTTTCCTGACTGTGGTAGTTAAATTATGGCTTCCCTCTGACTCACATCAGAGTCATGCAATCACAGAAGATGAGGAAGAGAGAATAAAATAAAACAGGGAATATTGCGTTAAGTAAATTATTCAAAACCTCATCTATTTTGCAAGTAACTAAGATGACACAATAAGTGCATGCACATTTTTCTTTTAAAATAATAATGTTGCTTTAAAAAAAAGTATTTTATTGAATTATTATCCATTTGTAGTATTTTTATAAGAAAAAGATTAATTTTTCATAATTTTAAGGAAAATGCATTTTATTTTTCTTCCAAGTAGCTATTTGGAAATGCTTCAATTTCTCTTTCAGAAGCTGATTGTCTATATATACCTAAATAAATGATTAAAGTAGTTTTATTACATACAATTCGTTGTAATTGTATATGAACTTTATTCAAGGTATTGTGCATAGCTTCTTTTTTGTAAGTATGCTAAATGATGTTCAAGTAATTTAATCAAATGGCTTTTCCTTTACTGTAGTTTATTTTGTCTTTTTCTTATTTTCGTAAGAATTTGACTGCTATGGAAAAATAATATTTAAATAAGTCTCCATATCTAAATATTAGACTCTTAATACACTTGATAAAAATAAACAAAAGACATTAAATGACTTGCCCAAGTTCATATATCCAAAGGATTAAAACAGGAACTAAACCTTGCTCTGTCCTGTGTCTCAGTCTTTATATTAGACTCTTTCACTCCTGCCATTTATTCATCTTTCAATTCCAACAGAGGAATACATAACCTGAGTTCCTCAGAGGACAGAAGTGGCAAAAAAACCTTTTAGTTTGCACTACTGTTAAGTTTTCAGCTTGAACTGTTACCAGTGCAAGCAAAGCTGGGAGCATCTTATGGTTGGTCCTGAATTACGTTGGAGTAGGCTTTGCAGGTTACAGCCATCTCACTTTTTACTTCCAGCTACCATATGATTCTGCTCAGGTCTTATGATGTGTCTTAGCCAGAGTTAATTAAACATGACAGCTAAATAAAGAGGCACTTGTACATTTATAGCTGTCTGCCAAGATGTTGCGTGTATGCCGTGGGTCATGTTGTGAGGCCATGTGAGTGTTCAAGGCCTGCTGGTGATTGTGGATGACTGTCTTGGAATGGTCCTTATCCGTACCATCTGCAGCAAACAGATGTGGAACAAATTGCTCTCTGTATCTATACTACTCACTCAAAGCAATGGTTGATTCACTCCAGACCACAGCCTGAAAACGAACTAGTATGCTTACACTGCGGATGAGAACCCTGAAACTGAAGTAGGGATTGAACCAATTTGACCCTATGAATGCACAGTCAACTGTTTTTCTCTTGTAACCAGCCTTACATTTAGTCAAAAAATGTGAAGAGATCTTCAAGTTTTCAAAGGAAGAGTGTTTTAAAATGTTTATGCAGTAGGAAAATAAGAACATAAAACCTAAACTATTTGAATAGCTTAACAAATTCGTGAAAGTAATTACAATGCAGTTGGTTTATATAAGAAAAGATGCAGATGAGATGATCCAGGAGGTCCTCCATAGCTCTGCCTTCCTGGAAAGCCCCTGAATCTAACATTTTGCCTTTTCCAAACAGGGTCGTTCCCATATTTCTTGTATGCCAGGGACAGTCCGACGCTGGAATTATCCATCTCCTCTCTGCATTGGTATGGATACTTACTTGATTTCAGTGTGTTCTGAACGTCAGTCAGAAGAAACTCCTGGCTTTGTCATGCCTATTGTTCCTTCATGTAATTCTATTTCATTCAAAAATTTTTTTAGTTTCCATTTGTATCTAAGAAACAAGGAAAAATTAAAATAAAACTTCTCTTTACATATGGTATATATGTTATTTGAAAAAATACTGCAAGTGGGCAAAGGAGGAAACCCAGATATTTACCATTGTTTAGCTTGTCCTTAATACTCTGCTCTGAATCAGACTGAATATTCAGAAGGGAGAGGAAAGCAACATATTCCTTTTCCAGCATGCTCAACTTGGAGAATCTTCTCAAAAGCAATGCAGATCATGCAGGGAGCCCAGGAGACTTCTCAAAGAAGCAGACGATCTGTCTGCAGTGGAGAGCAGCTCTGAAGACAAGCTTTCAGGGATGGTGTAAAGAAAAAAAGTTTTAGGGATCCAGAAAAGGTTGACTTTTTTCATCTGCGAAAGCCATTAAATGATGCGGAGTTAAAAAGCAAACATCAAAAGAATTTCCCTTTTGAACACACTAAGACCTTACCCAACAGATCTGAGTTTTCCCTGTGTAGATAATAGTCTTGTTCTACTGTATTGTTTCTTGATTAAGTAAAGTTTAAGAGAATGAGGATTCTGGTGTCTTTTGACATGCTTATTTGAAGAAAAATTACGAATGGAGAGGAGAGAAGCACAGCTCCATCATATCGTTCTGTCACTTCAGCTTTGAAATGCATTCTTCAGTGAATGCTTTGAACTTCGTTATTCAGTCTGCAAAAGCTGGTCCTTTTATCTTCAGATTTAAGAGGAATTTAAAAGATTGGGATGATACCAAGCAATATTAACATCAAATGATTCCTTGTCAAGTTGGACCTATATATTTTGTATTGTTAACTTCTACAGAAGCAGTCTGATTAATATGAAAGCAAAGCTTTTCCTTTAAATTGATTTTAGAAATGGAAAATTTATTCAGGAAGGTATATTTTGGGGTTTGGGTGGGGGTTTTCTTGTGCTAATCTTATTTTGCCCTGTATATTAAATATAATTCCTATTTGCAAACAGTGTGGCTTATTGATTTTTTTATTTTATTTTTTTTGCACATTAAGTTCATGAAATTTTGCTGTCCTGGAAGTTAGAATACCCCCAAGAAAACAAAACCTCAAAATATGGTCCCCGCTCCCCTTCCTCCAACCCTTGAAAAACTGATATTTCTAGAAATGCAAACCAAAATCTGTTCTTTTTGCTAAATAATGTATTTAACATGGCAGGGAGGTAGAGACATTGGAGAAGTTTGAGACAGATTTCTCAGCTTTTTAGTGCAGCTCTTCCTATTTTGGTTCAATTTCTTGTGTGGTATAACTAGTAGATTGTTTTCATTTTTTCAGTGCAATTATCACAATGCACAGTATCACAATTCTGTCACACTTCCTTTGTGTTACTGCCTTAGCAAAGGTGTAAACTCAGGCACTTCTTTACAAGTTCCTTCACATATATATATTTATAATTTAGCTTTATAATTTGTCTTTATGTCATCCTAAATGATGCAAATGGCTTTTCAATCTCCAAATACATGAATTTGCTGAAGAAAAGCATACAGACAGTAAGCAAAGAATAATTCTGTTATGCCGCTACTCTGTCCTCTTCCTGAATTAAAGAAAGAACTCTGGTGGAGTTTTTTTGTTTGAGTTTATCTAAACTCTGATGTGGTTTTTAGCTATGTTAACTAGTAGATCTGCAGCTGCATCATAGATCAGTGTCATAATTCAGTTTAATTCCAAATTTGTTATTTGGATTATGAAGCCTGTCTCAACATAGCACCAGATGTTTTTAAATGTAATTGGCGAGCTGAGGCAATGGGTTACCTAGTCTATATGTGCTGCTACATATTTGCAGTAAAATCACAGTGAACATATTGCATTAATTAAGCATTTCGCTCCAATGTGAATTCTTTTTTTCTTCCTTCATCAGGAATGTATTGACTGTGATAAATTTCACTGTTTGGGTCTCATGAGGATAAAATGGAAAATCCATTTTTGAATTATTCATATGTTAAAAATTAAGAAATAATATTCTTAAAAGATACAGTGACTTTCATTTTGTTTTTAATAGCTAAGTGTGGTGGAACACTGACAAACATGGGTGGCGTGATCCTGAGCCCAGGTTTTCCTGGAAATTACCCTAGTAACTTAGACTGTACATGGAAAATTTTCTTGCCTATTGGGTATGGTAAGTAAATTTACATTTCAAAAGCAACTATTTGTGGTCATTAGCTTTAAATATATAGAAAAATATTCTAATTTCCAGTATGAAATAGATTTTATCCAGTGAATATATTGTGAACCTTTTACATAATTATGCACTATCTTTTGATTTGAAAATATTTGGCAGTTTAAAAATATATCTTTGTCAAAGCAATTAGTTATTTGTATAACTCAACCAGCCTATCTCAGAAACGGATTTCAGAGCAAATGAAATCTACTGCGTGAAGATGTATCAGATGAAATAGATAATGTAACTTCTGAATATAGTGTTCTCTTCGTTACATGAAAATATACTGATCATGTAAAAGAATACACTACTAAAATCCAAACATTTGAAATAGATGAAAAGTACATCTTTTCAAAGGAGTTGCGAAGATTTTGCAATGATTTCAGGTAGCTGTGAATTGACTAACATTTGTAAAAAAGATCAGCTCAGCTTGGTATTCTCATTATTTAGAGTCTATTCAAGTGAGAGAGGAAATCCTGTTGAGATTGGAACAGGAAATAGTATAATTATAGTTTAACCAGATAATGATTTATTTTCTGAAGCAATCGGTTTTATTGTGTATAATTTTATGTAAGAAATTATTTAGTGTAGAAAACTTCTTCTTAGACAATTCTAAGTTGTATAAACTTAGAGTTAAGGCTTGTGTGACACATACAGCATCTTCTCAAATTGAAATTAGTTTGAAAAACTCAGGGAAAAAATATGTTTTTGTGTGTGTTTAAAATGTGGCTATTTTAGGCAGTTTCAATTTTTTACTGGTTACTGGTAAATCTACTTTTTACTTTTAAAATACAAAGCTTTTCTATTTTGAATATTTCTAGTTACAGAAATTTCTTTGCAGTAATTAAGTAAGAATGATTCAGTTTTAAAGGTATTCCGGGACTCATCAGAGACTATTTCAGAACAGCAGGCTACTTTTATTTAAACACCTAGACACTGATGTTAGGTCTATATACATTTGTCGAATTCAACTACGTGCTTGTCATGTTTGCAACTTCAGTGTAAGATTATGTGACTGCTCAGTTCTTCAGAATTTCTATGCTGCTTACATCGAGTCTCTGGTGGGAATCACTAAATGCTGATACTGAACTCAACATGTGTCCAAGATGCCTGGTGTCATATCTCACCTTACATCCTGAGAGCATTTTAAAATGAGTGCCTTCACTCAAGTCAGACCAATCATATCAGACATCATACAAGAGATGTTTGATATGGGGACTTCAGTATGTTCTGTATGTGCCTCTCTATTGATAGCGCTGGAATAAGTTTTCTTATTCAGCCACTGAAATACTTGCTTTCATATCTCCCACTCTGCATAGGTCAGAAAAGGTTACTAAAGCTAAATATCCCATATTCTCAAGAGTGTTCTGCAACAACCAATTTCTTTGGTAGCATATTCAGTTTCTCCTGTAGAAAAAAAATAATATCCCTTTTATACAAGGGATTAGATATCAAACCACAGTAGCGAAGAAATGAGCTATAGAGCAAGACTGAGTGAATGACTTACCGTGGTGATCAATCCCTAAGGTACTCTCCTGGAATTAAGAATATGTCTCTACTGCTTAATAAGAACGTCAGGCAGAGAGTTAAGACATTGAGTATTTCACACTGCTTTGTTGGCCCATTCAGTACTTCTCTTTTATTCTATTCCAGCTAGTTCTTCATAGTCTACCAAAGCAAGATTAGGCCCAAGCAGTGTGGTTGTAAGTTACTTGGTACCACTTGGCTTTAAAAACAGGAGTTCATCACTGTCCTGGTTTTGGCTGGGATAGAGTTAGTTTTCCTCCTAGTAGCTGTTGTGTTTTGGATTTAGTATGAGAAGAAAGTTGATAATACACTGGTGTTTCAGTTGTTGCTAAGAAATCAAGGACTGTTTTTAGTTTCCCATGTTCAGCTAATGAGCAGGCGTGCAGGAGCTGGGAAAGAGCACAGCCCAAGCTGGCTAATGGAAATATTCCATACCATAGACCTCATGCTCAGGTTATAAATGGGCATTGGCCAGGAGTCATGAACTCTTTTCCCATGAGTTTGATCTTTTGTGTGAGTTTGGCTCTTTTCTGTAAGTTCATCAAGTTCTGTGAATTTTGTGAGTTCGGCAAAATCTGCGCATGCAAATCCGTGGGTTCCACGATCATTGCTTGGGGGCCTGGCTGCACAATCATCTGTCGGGCAGCGAGAAAAACTGTATTGTGGATATCTTGTTTTGCATATTCATTACTATTATTACTGTTGTTGTTGCTATTATTATTTCATTTGTTGTCTTACTAAACTGTCTTTATGTCAACCTGCAAGTTCTATTTTTTGTCCATTCTGCTCCCCATCCCACTGGGCAGGGAGGAGCGAGTGGGCGGCTGCATGATCCCTAGTTGCCGGCTGCCAGGTTAAACCACGACGATCCCCCACCCCTCTTTTGATATTGTATATACACATAATTTGAGAAGGCTGTATTAAAAGATCTTAGTCCACATGAAGGGGTGCCAGAACTTATCAAAAGCTCTTCCTGTGAGATTATGCTTATACATCCGACTGTTCAGCATTTTGGGAGTCATCTCTCTCCCTCTCATTTTGTGAGAAAGGCCTGATTCAGCCACCTGACTTCTGGAGGGGGTTTTGTAAGTGATCCTGGGTAAGCACCTTCCACCAGTCAGGAGCTCAGTGCATCTCACAGTGCTGCACAAAGAGAAGAATGGCTTTAAAGACACTGGCCCACACTGGGGGGAAGAGGAGGCATATATAGGTGACATGGCTCAGGAAAGGCAAGGCAGACTAGATAGCTGGAACTAGGTAGGTAAACTTCTGCCTCTGAAAGGTCACTCTGTTAGTAACCTTCCTGGATGCTGAGCTGATCCTGAGCCTTTGTGGGAGGCTTGGCCCAGCTACAGAAATTCTCCTTCAGCAGAGTCCTGACCATGCCATGACACAGCAGGATTTGTGACGTGCCCCTCCTTTGAGTGTTTCTTTTGGCTGGTTTACTAACCTGACAAATATCTGGTTGTTGACTTTGTGACTTCTTTTCATTGGTCCCTTCACGTGTCCTTACGACTTTTATTGGGAACCAAAAAATTAGAAGCTCCAACTCATGCAATAGTTAGAGGCTATTTCCTTAATTTAAGCATCCCACTTTGAATGGTGACTAAAATACAAATATAATGCCTATAACAATTATTATGACATTTATTTTTGTATTTGCGTGCAGTAGCATTAAGCAACATGAGTTATAGAAACCCTGTTTTTAATTTTTCTTTCTTTCTCAATGCTGCAGGTGCACACATTCAGTTTCTGAATTTCTCCACTGAAGCAAATCACGATTTCCTTGAAATTCAGAATGGGCCTTACCACACCAGCTCTATGATCGGCCAGTTTAGTGGAATGGAACTCCCATCACCCTTGCTAAGTACTACTCATGAAACACTTGTCCATTTTTACAGTGATCACTCAGAAAACAGGCAAGGATTTAAGCTGACATACCAAGGTAAGCAGGAACTGGAATGATGAACTTTATAGTTAAAAAGGACTTTTTTTTTTTTTTTTTTAATTTTTAAAAGTGTATTATGAATATACTATATGGCATTTTTAAATCTATGGATTGTTTAATCCAGAGGTAGAACTTTTTTGCAACTGAAATTGTGTTGAATTGGAATCTTTATTTTACTGATGTAAAAACCTGAAGCCAAGGTGATGTCATTTGTCAAATGTCACATAGCTGATGCCCCTTTCCATCCTATTAAGATGCTTTGTTACAGGACAATATTGCTAATATTCACTGTCTTGTTTTCCATTTTATTTAATCTTGTTACATTTAATGTAATGAATGAGTATTTAAAAATATAATATGAGCTATTTTAAATATTCAAGTGAAAATTTTTATAGTTATGTTATATTTTTGCAACCTAGATTTATGTGAAAATTAACAGGAAATGATAAGACACAAAATAACACCAATTCTGCATCTGCATTTTCAAATACACATATTCAGTATTTGAACATGTGAACTTTTTGTAGTCTTCTACTCTTGGTTTTTTCTTCATCTTCATTGTTTGTTTTTTTTTCCCTGTTAGTGATTATAAAACATCATTAATTCGTGCATATTTCTAAAGTGTTAAAATAGTCTTACTGAAACTGTCGAGCCCCATTGCAAGATCTGAAGAGTTTAACAAAATGGAATTGCTGGTTGAATTCTCATCTGACTGCAGTGAGGAAGATTCATACCACCTTACTCTAGGCTCTTAATAACTTGGTTAGATTTTCATACATATGTATATAAGCCTATTTGTTTGTATAAACATGTATATGTTGTGGGTTAATCCTCGTGGGCAGTTAAGCACCATGCAACTGCTCGCTTACTTCACCCTATCCTATAAAAGCAGGAAAAGTTGGGGGTCAAGTTAAAACATTATTTAGTAAGTGAAGGATAAGGGGAAAAAGAGAGAAAGGAAACAGAACAAAACAAAAATGATGTCTCGTGTAGGCAGACCAATGCCCAGCCCGTTCCTGGGCAGCCTGTTCCAATCCTTGATCACCCTTTCAGCGAAGAATTTTTTCCTAATATCCAGTCTAAACCTCTCCTGACGCAGCCTGAGGCTCTTTCCTCTCATCCTATCGCTAGTTACCTGGGAGAAGAGACCAACACCCACCTCACTACAATCTCCTTTCAGGTAGTTGTAGAGAGCAATAGGGTTCCCCCTCAGCCTCTTCTCGAAGCTAAACCACCCCAGTTCCCTCAGCCACTCCTCATCAGACTTGTTCTCTAGACCCTTCACCAGCTTCATTGCTTGTCTTTGGACATGCTCCAGCAACTTCATGTCCTTCTTGTAGTGAGGGGCCCAAAACTGAACACAGTAGTCCAGGTGCGGCCTCACCAGTGCCGAGTACATGAGCATGATCACCTCCCTACTCCTGCTGGCCACACTATTCCTGATACAAGCCAGAATGCCCTTGACCTTCTTGGCCACCTGGGCACACTGCTGCCTCATGTTCAGCCGGCTGTTGAGCAACACACCAAGGTCCTTTTCTGCTGGGCAGCTTTGCAGCCACTCTTCCCCAAGCCTGTAGCATTGCATGGGGTATTTGTGACAGCTGTGCGGGACCTGGCACTTAGCCTCGTTGAACTTCATAGAATTGGCCTTGACCCATCGATCCAGGCTGTCCAGATCCCTCTGTAGAGCCTTCCTACCCTCGAGCATATCAACACTCCCACACAACTTGATGTCGTCTGCAAACTTACTGAGGGTGCACTCCATCCCCTTAGCCAGATCATTGATAAAGATACTGAACAGAAATGGTTCCAATACTGAGCCCTGGGGAACATCACTCGTGATCAGCCACCAGCTGGATTTAATTCCATTCACCACAACTTTTGAGGCCTGGCCATCCAGCCAGTTTTTTACTCCGCAAAGAGTACACCCATGCAAGCCACGAACAACCAGTTTCTCCAGGAGAATACTGTGGGAAACAGTGTTAAAGACTTTACCAAAGTCAAGGTAGATGACATCTACAGCCTTTTCCTCATCCACTGAGTGGGTCACCTTGTCACAGAAGGAGATCAGGTTGGTCAAGCAAGATCTGCCTTTCATAAACCCATGCTGACTGGGCCTGATCACCTGATGGTGCTGTATGTGCTGCGTGATGGCACTCAAGATGATCTGCTCCATAACATTCCCCGACACCAAGATCAGGCTGACAGGCCTGTAGTTCACTGGATCCTCCTTCCGGCCCTTCTTGTAGGTGGGTATCACCCAGACTAGACATAAAGCAGAATTTCTTTACAATGAGGGTGGTGAAACACTGGAACAGGTTGCCCAGAGAAGTTGTGGCTGCCCCTTCCCTGGCAGTGTTCAAGGCAAGGTTGGATGGGGCTCTGAGCAACCTGATCTAGTTGAAAATGTCGCTGCTCATTGCAGGGGGCTTGGAACTAGATGGCCTTTAAAGGTCCCTTCCAACCCATAACATTCTATGATACTATGATTCTCTATACTTGGTCTCTCAGGCAAATTTATTTACCTTTATTTTATTCCATAGATTTAAGCAATATCTGCTTATCATTACAGACAGAAAGACACTGTAATCTGTGCTCCAGTTTGTAAAACTACAACTGCAGAAAAATTTATTTCTTTAATTTGTCTGTCTTTCTATTTAATTTATTCATTTAGCCAATATTGATTGTTTCCTATTAGAGCAATGTAGTACGCTCAGCAATAGGAAAATGAGTCTGGGGAATCATTGACATGGTATTCAAGTGTAACTAAGAAGATATTTATGTTCAGAAGTTAAGCTGATTGCCATAACCCATGCTCTAAAAATCAGATGAAATCTTAGGCTTATTGCAGTTAACAGTTTTGTCTGTTACTTCAGTCAAACCACAACTTCAGTTTTTAACGTTTTGCTTGTTACAGGCACCACTCCTTTATTCATTGATGGCAATCTGCTGAAAGAATCTTTTATTATTTATGTCTGGTCTGGGATTGCCATTAAGATGGTAGCTTTTGTAATTCAGAAATCCATGATATAAATGTATGAAGTTTATTCTGTATTTTGAAAAGGCTGATAAACTAAGCTTATAATTCCTCTTTTGTCTATTCCACCCTTTCCCACTATGTTCATTAGGATTAATTTGTCTGATCAGAAGTAAATTTAAATATAATGAAGAGGGTGGTAAACAAAAGAAACTGATGGTTTTTGGTTCACTCTAACACTTTCTTGTTAAAATCACTGACTTTTTAGATAAGTTGCTTTGTTTCTGCTTCTCCCAATTGCAGCTTGTTAGCTGACAACAAAACTGTTATCATGACTAACTCACTGACAGCGTAAAATTTTATGCTATTATTTAGAGGGAAAGAAATGCACCAAAAACCAGAAGTATGAATTATGAAATAATAAAAAAAATCATTAGATGGGCCTGAAAATATTTTTACGTGGTGAAGATTGTGTAGTAGCATTCTCAGAATAAAACAAAACTGTCAAAAAATGTATTGTTCATAGAAATTCAGGAACTTGTAGTAGTATTTTGCAAACATTTATATAAAGAATCCAGAAAAAAATATTATGTCTTAAAAGTAGTAATTTGATAAAAATTTCCTTACTTTAGCAATTGGTCTAAAAATTGTAGATAGAAAATTCAGAACCAAGCGATACAGTTACATTAACTTATATTTGAGTCATTCTGATTTCAAATGAAAAGTACAACTAGTATTTATTACCTTGTTTCTCAAAATGTGTAGTTGTAGGTGTATTTGAATTACCAAATGCATATACATTTACCCAGTTTTATTTTCCCCATGAATAAGAAGCAAAACAATTTCTCCAGTAAAAGCAACTCACACAGTTCATGTTTATGTAATACTCCTTACTTCTAAAGAGACTCTGGGGTGACTCATTCCTGAATACTGTGTTGAGGAAGCACAGTAATTTAGTTGATATATATTAAAAAAATACGGTTTTAAAACTTAAAAAAATCACAACATAATCCACTCAAATAAAAAGATGCTGGGGAAGAAATTAATTATTTTACAAGTTACTTATTATTTATTGATTTTTTTTTCTCTAATGTGGAAAGTTACTGACACTGTAATGTGCAGTTTTGAAGTGGTAAGGTTCTACCGGCTAAGTTCACTCTCCTGTGCTACTAATCAACTTCTTTTCCTTCTTCCATCTACCTCCTTTTCTGCATTCTACAAACAGATTTTGGACTTTTCTTTAAATATGAAATATCTTTAATTATTTAGTTTTCTTCAGATAGCACAAATTCTCTCTGTTGCCTCTGAGATCCCAGATTGCACTAGCCATTTCTGTTGCTAACATTTCTCCTTTGGTAATTCTTTCTAAGATTATCACATTTCACAGCTTCGTATTACTGAGCACAAGTAACTTGCTTAGCACCATCTAGAACGTGTAGGAAATTGTACTCTCAGTTCAAGATATTTATTACCTCAGAACTTCTGGAAGTATTGTATTTCGATGTATTCACCATTCCTCTGATGTGCTCTGACGTAAAATGCCAGTGGCTTACAATTGAGCAATTTTAATAGCTGCTTTGTTTTTCTTCATACAAATGATATGTTGCTTTTGATAGCTGAGTTTTCCAGTCCCACACCTGTTGCCCTTGGTACTTAGTTATCTTGTCTTCTAGATTGGCTCTGGATTTTCCTACTCCTATTGATGTTACACTTCTGGATTTCTCTCTCTTCCTTTAGTCGATCTGCAACTGCTGAGACAGGACTTAAAAAATAATTATTCAGTACTCCAAAATATAATAATTCGTGATAGGGATTTCTTACTCTTCAGTCGTGGGTTCGTCTTGGATTATTTTTTACATGGTTTCTTGCCACAGTTTGCTGCTTTCTTACTAATTCTCAGTCAAACTTCGAAAGCTGCTTTCTTGGGTTCCGTCACTGTAAAGGACTATTGGTTGTTAAGCAGTGACTGTCAGGGCTTGCCAGGCCTTTAGCATACATGGTATTTGCAGATCATAACCTA